CTCCTCCTCCTCCTCCTCCTTCTTCTTCTTCTTCTTCTTCTTCTTCTTCTTCTTCTCCTCCTCATGCTCCTCCTCCTCCTCCGCCGTCAACTAATGCACCTCCTCCTCCATTGTCTTAAGACCGGCTACGGCGGCTGTTCTATTCACTACCATTGCACACAATTCTGACACACCAACAAGCATCAACCCTCCTTTCCCAATAACACCAACGATGTGAATTCGAACCATACTTGTTTGCACTGCGACCGCACCTTCACCTCGGCCTGGTCAGTCACTTGCGAATCCATTACACAGGGACTGGGGAAACAATGCCTTGAGCACCAACCTACACTCGCCGTATTCGCCTCCACTGTCTACATTGTCCTCGCAAACTCACTCACCGCATGGGTCTATTCGGTCACATGCGTATCCACGAGAGCAAAATGACTGAAGTCTCAAGACACCTAGAGCCTCCTGCACATCCAACATGCCTACCTCGCCCACCACTATCAGTTCCACCACACTCAGCGCATCTTGCGCACCCACCATGCGTAGCACGACGCGTTCAACATCAGCAGTTCCACCATCTCCGAAACCGACAGTGAAATCGCCGACTTTTCCTGTTCACACTGTCCGCGGACATTCACCTCACACATCGGTCTGGTCGGTCAGTTGTGAGTCCATCGCAGTGCCTAGAGCTTTCACATACACTCGCCGCATCCGCCTTAACTGCCCTCACTGCACCCGCGCATTTCCCCACCGCATGGGTCGATTAGGCCTCATGCGCATTCACAAAAACCTGCGCTAGATAATCGCCGGCTGTACTACACCTTCGCATCCTCCCTCATTAGCATCTCACCGCACATCAATATCGCCCACCGCAAGCACTCAACTGCCACTTCCCACGCAAGTGGGGGGTGTGCGTCTCGGCTTCGTCACCATACTGCTTCTTTGATGCATGTGTGATTCGAGTCTGAGGCTATCACGGCGCGTCAAGCGTTGTGGATTGAAAGGCTGGTGACTGACGCCCCAGTTCAGTCCACACAGTCTGCGTAGTTATGTGTGTGTATGTGTGGTGCTGCTCACGCAGTCCTGGAAGGATGCGGGGCGGTAAACTGGTGGCAGTAGCCCTTCTGTTTTTGTGCATGCGTGTGTGTCGGGCTGCTGCTGTTACCAGTTACAGTGTGTGCATGTGTTCGCGCTGATGTTAACGCCTATGTGCGTATTATTGTTTGTGCAAACCTGACGCCTCGGTGGCGCAATGGATAGCGCGTCTGGTTTCTACCCAGAAGGCTGTGGGTTCGAATCCCACCCGAGGTGCCGTTTTGTCCCACAAACGGGCCACGTGGTAAATGCCTGGAGCAACACGTCGGCCATATTGCACTGTATCAGACGTTACTGAAGCTGCGCACCTCAACAAATGCCAACATTTCGGTGGTGCGGTGGCGGACCCGGTTGCCGGCGTACGTCGCGCGCACTCGAACCCTTCTACTCGCCATTGTTGTTGGGAGTCAAAAACCTGGTTATTTGATGTGTGGACCAGGGGGTGTGGAGTAGGACGCCAAAATGTGAGCTCGACAGTGCCATCCACCTGCGCCCTCCCCCGTCTCCGGCCATGTGAACTCTGTCTCGACACTGTGTCCAGATGGGGAAGGAGAACAGTCTGCGACAGATAGTGTGCAAGTCTACTATCATTATAAACGAAATTGCTGCACAAGTCACCTTCCCTGCTCCCACCCTGTTGCGAAGCATACGAAGGACATCGTCGGACGCGACGTCCGAACTGTCGTGTTTATGTGGAGAGGCGGATGAGTGAGCCGGGAGCCAGGCTGAAGCGGCTGCTTCGCAGCGTGACCTACGGCACTCTCACACATGTGAGATGAACACCACTCAACCCCGCCCTGCGTGAAATCTTGGTGCTTGTGTTTGGGGTGCCAGGTCGTACATGTGACTCGCGCATACAAGTTCATCATACTATATCAGTCATCGCGCCCATTCCCCGCAACTTTCACCTAATCGGTTCGGACAGTGACTGGGACCTGGGAATGTGAAGGGATAGTAAGGTCGACGGCTCAGCGAATTGTCCTCATTATAGACAGCTTGACGCACTTGAAGCTATCACGGTGCGTTAAGAGCCGTGGTTTGGAAGGTTGTCAAATGACGAGATAACTTGGACATCGCGGTCGGCCCCGTGTCGTATGTGTTAGTGTGGAGCGGTCGGCTGGTGGTCTAAGAGTCAGGCTGCAATGGCTCCTTCCTAATGTGACCTTTATGGAAGTTCCACTCCGTGGCATCCTAGCCAGGTGTAGCTACACGACTGGGTGCGACTCCGGCCGTGCCCGTTACTCCCTTGTTTTGGTTGAAATCTTGGTCATTTTCTGTGTGGACCAGGGTTTGCGAAGCGGAGCACCAAGGTACGGGCACGACCGTGCCATTCATCTGAATCCCTCCCCGTCCCCGGTCTTTTTGACCCCTTTTTGGCACCGGGGCCAGGTCGGGGAGTAGAATGAGAGACCGGATCCAGGTGGGGCAGTAGGAGAGCTTTCGGTAGGTGTAGCGAAATTCTACGCTAACTGCTAATTAAATCACGCGCAAGTCACCGTCCCTGATCTCAGCTTGCTGTGGAGCACACGGTGTACATCTTCGGCAACGACGGTCGAACTATTATAGGACGTCTTACCAGCAGCCCAAAGAAATGTGCGATATACCTTTGACAGAATGTATATAGCACATAATTTGAAAACTCTGTGAGAGCAGGTGGAATAAAACGGTCTTCTGGAATTGAAAAAGATTTTGAATACCAAAAGTCACCCTCTATTTAAGTAAAAAGTTAAGACGTAATCTGCAACCAAATGTAAACATGCGTTCTCGCTTTGAAAAGACTACTTAAGTAGGGTTGTAAAACTAATCATCTTACAGCATAATTCTATAATGATCCAGCTACCTCAGGATGTCGGCTTTAGAACGAACTTATTTTCGGCTGCATGCAAGAACTATGCTGTGCAAAAAATGACTACTTAATTATCATGCAATTTTCTCATTGATTTTAGGTGCGCTTAAAAATTCAATTATATTTATTGAAAAACATGCATAAAATATTCATTCTTTTGCTGATTCAGCAGAAAATTACGCCTGGTTTCAATTTTACACTCGAGGGAAGGGTATAATTTGGCTTTAAAAAGTTTCTAATTGTGAGAGTTTTTAATACCGTGAAATCGTTGTTCATAAAACTTCATCTGTTTTCAGTTACCAATGTGGCTTGTAAAGTTAACAATATTTATCAAATCCACTGCCTTATTTTATGACCCCCATATGGTCTCTCAATCATACCGGAGAGAGATGTGTCGTTTTCCACACACGGAAAATATACGGCTTGTAGTGTTGAAACCCTGAATGCAGGTATAACAGCAGGTCGGGTTCAAAATTATTCGGAGATCAGAAAAGTTTTTTAAAACCGAATTATACCCTTTCTTCGAGCATAAAATTGAAAGAAGACGTGATTTCCTACCGAATAAATAAAACAATGGATACTTTTATGCATGTTTCTCATGAAATATAATTGAGCATTCAAGCGCATCGAAAACCAATGAGAAAATTGCGTGCTATTTAAGTAGTCATTTTTTGCAGAGTATACTTCCTACATGCAGCCGACAATAAGTTCGTTCGAAAGCCGGCATCCTGAGGTAACTGGATTATTATTAAATTATGCTGCATAATAATTAGTTTTACAACCCTACTTAATTAATCCTTTCAAAGCGAGAACGCATTTCGAAATTTCAGCCGACATTTCATGAGTTGGCCCACCTACTGTGCATTGTTCAGCGAGCAGGTTTTAATGATCTGGAAAATGTGCTGGGTGCCAAACAACAGGATGCCATGCTCAAAGAAGTCTACCATAGAAGCCATACCATGGACAGTCTTCTAAAGCTGGCAGGGAGTGCCGTAAGAAA